CGCGGCGCTGTGTTGGGTACGCCAACGGACTGTCGGCTATGTTGAGTACCTCTCGACTGCAACCGCTCTATGGCTCTGTTGATGTCTTCTCCCGCGTTTTCACTCAGGCCACTGATCTGCTGAAGACCAGCGGCAAATCAGAGCTTCGGGCAGCGAGTACACAGGTACAGGTGGCATGGATTTTGATCGGAGGTCTGATGCCCCTTGGACCAAGTTTCGTTAAAATTCATCTGTCCCAGCTGATGTTACTTTGGAAAAATGCGCTACCCAAGCATCTTGGCAAGGAAAATATTGCTCAGCGTGGGTATCTAGAGATGAGTTTCCTTGCACATGTACGGGAATGTGCTTTGGGATCCCTGTTGGTATTCATGGAGTTCAACAGCAAATTGATCACAGCGGATGGTGCGAGAAGAATCGCTGCTATGCTACAAAATACGGTAGAATTTCTCGACGATCTTCCTCGGCAGAAGTCTGTTGCGGATCTTTCGCAACGCCTTCAACCTTCGTTGCAATTGCATGATATGGCTACAATGGTCCGGCGACGGGTTCTGCAGTGCTTCTCTAAGCTGATTGATGTCCATCCTCTCAGTCACGCAGATGTCATCTCCCAGACTACTCTGTTGAGGCTTTCCATCTCCTCCTTTGCCGATCCAGAATACACCCAACCTGCTCCGCTGGAAAGTTCGATAGCGGCTGCCACCGCTCAGTTTGAGACTCTCTGGGATCTCTGCGATAATTTTGGATTTGGTGTCACCGGCCTAGCCCGACAATATATCCGTGCAACACTCTCAGGCAAACAGGACAACGACAATGGTCCTGCTTGGTCAGCTGTCGATTCATCAGACCAAGATATCGACGACGCTGTGAGTCTTTCATCCTCCAGTAGGCATGCGCAGTCAAACTAACGATAGCAGTTGACTTTCCCTATCTGCCAAGCTAGCGAACATGATTCTCTTCTTTTATACTCTTCGAGGAGTGAAAGAGACAGTGTTTTGGCTGACCCGCATGCCACCGGGGTCGTCAATGCTGCAATTGAACTGTTCGCTGTTGCTATTCGCTTGTACGCCCCTAAGGTACAGGAAAGCACTATGGAACAGATTGCAACGTTCCTGTCATCCCAGAGCCTTCAGCGCAATCCTGGCCGCAAGGCTGCAATGATCGTCAACATTGCGGTGGCATTACTCCATGCGCTGAAAGTCGCTGCCAAGGACAGTGGCTCAGCATCTGGCAGGCTCAATCCTGTTACTGAGAAAGTACTGCAGGAGCTGTTGCAGGTAAGACATGCTGAGGACCTCCATTCACCTATTCTCTAGCTGACAGCCACAGAAATTCGTCATTGACGCAGATCCGATTGTCCGAACCATTGGTGCCGAAGCACTTGGACGACTCTGTGACAGTGCTGGAAACACACTTATGACTACACAGGTCAATTGGTTGGTCGATACTATTGTTGATAACAGGGAGCCTAATGCACGTGCGGGCTGTGCTGCAGCCTTGGGATGCATTCACGCACAAGTAGGTGGTATGGCAGCTGGCCTGCACCTCAAGACGATTGTTGGCGTCTTAATGTCACTTTGCAATGATCCCCACCCTGTCGTTCACTTCTGGGCGCTTGGAGGTCTAGAAAGAGTAGCCAATTCCGCAGGCTTGACCTTTTCACCATTTGTTTCCAGCGCGCTCGGGATGCTCGCTCAGCTATACAATGCCGATACTCACAATGAAGAAGCCGCAAGCTTAGCAACATCCAACATCGAAATGACCTTCCTCACTCCGGTCGTAATAAGTCGTTGCGTCGATTCACTGATCAATGTCCTCGGCCCTGATCTTCAAGACATCACAAAAACGCGAAACCTGATTCTGACGCTCCTCCGGCAATTTCAACTGGAGGACAATCCGGCTCTGGTCACTGAGAGCTCCAAGTGCTTAGATCACATGTCACTGTACGCGCCGGGATTTGTGGACTTTTCAGGGTTTGTGAGGCGTCTCCAAAATGAATTATCTGCAGGCAACCCTCTGATGAGGGATGTAGCCATTCGTGCACTGAGTAATCTCATGAAGCGAGATGCTACTTCTGTCCTTCGAGCAGCCACGCCAAGTCTCGAAGAGCAGATCTGGCTTGCATATGATGATACGCCTGATAACCTGGTCCTGAAAAATATGATTCTGGACTGGCTGCAGCACACCGCCCTTACAGAGACCGAGCAATGGATTCAGCGTTGCCAGAATACGTTGACTAAGACCCGATTGAAAGTGGAGGACATCCCACCAACATCTGCTGTTAAGACAGCTGTCAATGACATGCCAGACGACGAGGTTGCAGGTTTCGCATCTGCAATTGCTGGGGCAGGACAGTCGGAGACCGTAAACGAAACTGTTGCCGGTCAGGAGCTGCTGAAATGGCAAACACGCAATTTCGTGATGAGTTGTCTGAGTCAGCTGTTGGCGACAGTCCAGGAGGCTATTTTGCCTGATCAGACAATTCCTGCTGAACTTGCCCTCCAGCACAAGGTTGGAGATATTGTCCGGATGGCATTCTCAGCGTCCACCGCAAATGTCATAGAGCTGAGAGTCTGGGGCTGAAGATTATCGATCAGGTTCTCAAGGTAACTGGCTCTCGTTCTTCAACAGGGTGAAGACATGACTGACCCATACCAGATGTTCGGCAAAACTCCTGATCCAGACTTTGCAGAGGCATCTCTCCTCGAGCAATACCAAGCTCAGATCGGATCGGCGCTCACGCCGGCATTTGCTGCTGATTCATCTCCAGAACTGGCATCGGAGGCAATCAATGTTTCTGCGACTTTTATCGCAACCGGAATTGTGACAAATGTAGAACGGATGGGCAGAATCTTGAAGGTCCTGGTTCTCGGGCTGGAAAACTTCTCGAGTAAGTGCGCAGTTGAAGTGTTCCTGAATAGTGCTAACTTTCTCTAGAAAATCCTGACGCGACGGAGTTTGGAGATCTCAAAGGTCTCAATTCCAACGCTAAAGTCATGGTCAAGATGGCTCTGTTCGCCGCTTGGGCACGGCTCCAGATCGCAAGCATCGACCAGGATTATCTGAACGAGGTCGTTCAACCTTATCTCGCGACGCTCACCCCTCTGTGGCTCTCTTCTCTCCAAGAATATGCTCGGCTAAGATTCGAACCGGACATCTCAGGTAGCTTGGGAACTGGCCCACAAAGTACCAACCTAGATGAGGTGTACGCGGCGTTGAACCGGGAAACACTGTTGAAGGTGAGCCCAGTCAAAATAGGCATGCTCATGACAAAGCTGACCCTAAAAATCCGTAGTTCTATCAAGATTCCTGGCTGAGTTTAGTCGACGCGATTGCCGGCTTAGTCGAGAAGGATATCGATTTCGTCTTCGACGCCCTGGACGGGAAGACAACGGAGCCCAAGGACCGAGAGGAAGAAAAAGCAAACGTGCCTAACGGGAAAGCGGCGGACAAGAAACATGATATCAACTACCGTGACGAGCCAGTCGCATTCTTCTTCGTACTTTTTGGCTTGGCATTCGAAGCTCTGGTTGACCAGTCGACGACGCCATCTCAGCGCTTGGATATCCTGCAAGCCCTCAAGAGGATCCTGCGGCCTGTCATATCTGGGAATGCTATCTACCAGGAAGCCATCTTTTCTGAGACAATGGACACTTTTGACCGGCTCGCCCTTACTGAGGGAACCCCCGTCCAGACCGTGATTGTCGAAATAGCGCGAAATCTCTCACTGGACCACCCATCAGCCAAGGCTGGAGATGCGCGCAGCGACCATCTTTCTGATGACATCGAGCAGCTTTTCGAGCTCACGCGAAGTATCATCCTTGTTCTGGCTGGGCTGCTACCGAATCTGCGTGAGAACACTTCTGTGGCCCGATTCAACGTGACGTCGGATGACTCTCTGTCGCTTATTCGGTTAGCCCTTTCATCTCTGGTCCAAGTTGCCTCCATCTTTCCCTCCATCATCCGTAATGACCTTAATGCATGCATTTTGCACATCTTCACCACCATTTTGGCGACCGGACTGTGTCAAGCAGAGGTAGTGCCTCAGGCTCTTCCGACGTTCAAATACTTTATCCATGGCATCAGCCATCCCAAGAGCTCCGCGTCAGATGAACCCCAGGATCTCGCCATCGTCTCTCACCAGTTGCGCGGGTGTCTCACACGCTTCCTTACGACTTTGACAATCGCTCAGCGACGGGAGTCCGAGTCATCCCTACCGTGTGCCAAAAACACACTCCTTGCTATTACGATCCTGCTAACAACCGGCGGCCACATCCTGCCTCCTCAAGATCCTGCCATCCCTCGTGTCCTGAACGAGCTCCTAGACTGTCTCCAGGACGTTGGTCTTGCCAATGTTGCTGCAGGCTGCATCCGCTCAATTCTCCTTACCTCTACACCAAGATCACCAACCGATGACCTCATTGCCAAGTATCTCCTTCCCCGTCTCATAGCGTTCTTAGTCGGTTGTCCCCTTGACAAAGGGGAGATTCCAAGCGACCCCGAGAAGTCAAGGACAGTCATTGCACGTACGCTAGTCTCCTACGCCACCAGCACTACCTTTGCCGCAAGTGAATTGCCCACGGCTCTCTCCCTGGTTATGTCCGCACTTCTCGCGCGCGCAAAACGCGAGAGTTACCCGGTATACAGAGAAACCGCCGCTCATCTACTGGAGCTTGCTCGAGCGGACCAGGCCACGTTTAGAGCTCTTGTAGCCTCGATGAAGGCGGACCAGAAGAGTCTTCTTGAAGAAATTCTTCGAAGTTCCGATCCTGGAACTGGCGCTGGCGCTGGCAGAGCTGAAACAAGCGGTGCGCAGTCGGAGGCATCGCAAAGTATGCCGAGTATTGCGCTCAGATTCGATTTCTAAACGACCCGGCTGGCTCTTTGTCGATTTCTTCATGATTCTCACGTTGACTCTCTTGTATATCTGCTGTCCACCAATTTACGTCTTCCCTGGTGCGCATGACTTCATGATGACTTGAATGTGACAATTACTCGGAGATGACAGTGAACGCTCGGCTCACTTGACCGTGAGTCTTGTTTATATATAGAATGATAGATAAGTACAGTTACAATGATCAATACAAGAAACGAATAATGACTCGGTATCCGTCCGTCTATCCGCTCAAGCCTCTATAATATCCCCAGGGTATCGAAGTGGTGCTGTAACGAGTCCGCGCAAGGACCAACGACCAGGCGTCAAGCACAAAGAAAGAGAAAATACAGCGAAGGAAAGTCTAGTATGAAGGGGTGAATGAAAAAAACCACAAACATCAGTAGAGCAATAAGTCAAGGAGCGACCAGAGCGCAGTAGAGCAACGCTTGTATTGTCATCAGCCAAGAGACTCGCTGATAATGATCTCCGGGACAGCAGGTAGCGTCGGCGGTGGGGCGGCTTCTTGAGCAACTCTCTTCTCGGTGGTCTCTTTGGCGGGGTCTCTTTCTTCTTCTCAGCGGCTTCCTGCGCTTTGCGCACGGAGTAGTACTTGAGGAAAATAATGATCATGACTATATGTAGGTTAGCTCAGGTCTGCAAGGAGCAAAAAGGGACGGCCTACAGGCACTTGTAGCAACAGCCATGGCGGCCCTCCTGGTCAGGATCCATCGGAGACCTTCAATCTCACTCTTGCCGTCGCTGTTCAAGGAGACAGTAATTTTATAATTGAGTTCCTGAACCGATGTATCAATGCTCCGTTGCTGTTCTCGAGTCGTCATCTTGTGGTCGTTGAACATTCCTTTGATGTCGTCTTTCAAGCCTGCAAGTTCCTGGTTCAGGCGCTGGGAGAGAATATCCGCCTCGTGCTCTAATTGTGCTCTGGACGCACGCTGCCTCTGCATTTCGGAATTTCGAGCTGTCTGGAGGGAAGACTGGAGTTCCGAACAGGCCGCTTTGAACAGATAGGTCTCGTTCTCGACATCGGATTTAGAAGTCAGGCTTTGTCTGGCAATGTCCAAATTGCTGTGCAAAATAGTTCGTATAGCTTTCATGATGGTGATGGATTGCGCGTCCGTAAAGCCGCCTTTTGATAAGTCGCAGACGAGGGAGTAGGTATCGAAGTGATGGACATATGGGGCAGGAGTCAGGTGCGGTTTATTAGCGGAAGATGATGTTTCCGTAGGGGTTAAGGGCGACGAAGGAGATGGCATATGGAGAACACCGTCGAGTGGGTTATCGTTAAGGGAATTAGGTTTGTGCCCATCTTGGCTCGGATGTTCGGTGGGAACTGGGGAGACAGCATGGATATCCGGGGCGTCAAGGTCGGGCTCGGACTCCTCCTGTGGGTGCGACTCATTCGAAGACTGGCTCTCGCGAGGTTGTGCTGTCTTTGGGTCGTTATCCTTCTCATGTGAACCGTCCAGAACGTCTCGCTTGGTACCATCTTGTGACCGCGATTGCTCAAGTTGGTGGTTGCCGTCCTTCGCCGCTGGCGTTTTCGACTCTTGCTCTTTGGACAACTCTTCCTTGGGTTTTGACGGAGGAGGCAAGTTGGCCTCGGCGGCGGGCCCATACCGCCGGTGATATGCTTCCTGAGCGCGATATCGACTGGCGTGAAACGCACGACTATGTGACGGACTCCGAATGGTGCGGTAGGTGGACGGTTCGCATGTTCTAATCGCGCGCATCAAATGCGGATACAGAAATGGTAGCCGTGGGGAAGCCATAATGGAACAGTCGGAGCTACCGCCAGATCATTCGAGAAAGCATGTATTGAAGCCGTAGTGGGTTGCGTACACAGGTAGGAAGTTGGCAAGAAGGCATTCTAGCTTTCCCGCGGCGAAGTTGGTTGTGGGTGGAACGTGACGTGGGCGGTGAAGAAGCCGCGGAATAATGATAGTTTAGGGCGTTGCCAGTTGGTGAAGGTACTTCGATTAACTAGGAAAGATGGATTGAACACAGTCTTTGCGAAAGTTATGGTTATGTATGTGCATAACAGATGATATATACAAGATGTTTGGTTTGATGCGGTCATGATTGCGCTATCCCCACTGCCAGAAGCCCGAACAACAGATGCGTCCGTTTCCAATAATCGTGGGCTCGTTGCTCAAGGATTTTGACCGTCTTCACATTCGAGTTTAGACTGCTGGAGAGGCTGTCTACAGCGTCTGACAAAGAGCCCTGAGCCGGCTCTATGGTCGACAAAGCATTGCTCAAGTAGACTAGATCGAAGTAGAGCTGGATCTTGTAATCGTCGGTGTTCTGCGCTGTGATTGCAGCATCGGCTTCCAACTGCTGGATTTTATCATTGTCTCCATTCTCAACTGCTTGAGCTTCTTTCGATGCTGCGCTTTCTTCTTGATCGTGTACCGACTCCGAATCCTTCTTAAGAGTAGCTGCGGCGGTGACCCAAAGCTCTTTTCGCAATCCTTCCTTCAGCGCTTGAGTGGTAGACACGTCCCACAGCCCTAAGCCGTAGTCATCCATCGTGTCTACAAGACGTCGGAGGAATTTGAAAATTGCTGGTGAAGGCTGGACCGGAAGTTCAGGGTCACCCTCCCAAAGGGTCCGACCTGGCAATATCTTATTTGTTTGGGAGGCGCGTTTGGGCCATATATTCGAGGGCTCTGTAAGTGTGACTACCCGTGCGGTAAGGACTTCTTGCAGCTGAGGGACGATTTCTTTCGAAAAGGCGAAATCGCTGGAAATGAAGTCAACAGGCAGGTCCTTCCTAACCAGTCTAATGAGTTTTAGCAGGAAGGCGGCTTTCTTGTCTCGATGACAAGATCCAAAGGAATTGAGAATCTCGGCGAAGGATGACTGCAGGTAGTTGAATGACTCCCGAACAGATTGCTGGAGGGCGTCTTTCAGCAATGTAGTATCGTCGTCGTTTAATATGGCTGGTATATCCATGTCCGCATCCTCCTCTTCTCCCTCCTCGAGGATGTCGGTCCAACGAACTCGTTTCATTTCATTGATATACTCCTTGGACTTGCCAATGGCCGCAAGCCAGGTTTCGTACTTTGCTAATACCGTGGATACGTCTGCGTCGCGGCCAAGCAATCTATCTGCGATTGTTTGTTTGAACGCGGCCGCACCATCTGAGAAGTCAAGGTTGATTAGTTCGTCATCCCAAAGGGAGAGAGTCTCAACGTGTTCGTTGGTGTCCCAATTTATTACGACAGAAGAGACAGCTTGGCCGAATTGCTCCAACTCTTTGGCCTGATCTGATAATATTTGACTGAGTCGCTCATTGAAAGCAGATCGAATGCCTTCTAGGACGTTCATGGGCGAATGAGTAGGTGTTGAGCCCCAGGAGCTGAGCCATAATTCCAAAGTTTTGCGACGAAGAGCGAGTAATTCAGAGAAACTGTACCAGTCTGTCAAGGTGTGACTGCAGCCTTTGACGAAAGCGTCGAACGCTTGCCTTGACCACTGTTTGATTGTCTTTTCGGCTTCTGGTTTCGACAGCTCACTTAGTTTGATCCAGGGAGTGAAATTCTTGACGTCTGCAGCTACCCAACGTCCCAGCACGTCAATACTCAGTTCATCGAGACTGAGGATGGCAGGATCGGCCAAGATAGGTTTTGCTTTCAACTTATTGAGCACATCTGACAATCGGCGAGAAAGTAGAGTCTTCGAGATTTGCAGAGTTTGGATGTAGAGCTGTAGAGCGTTCGGGACATTCTCGCCGGACAACCCAGTAAGTCCCAGCAGGTTTCCAATGACTTCCAGGCGAACGTGGTGGAAATGGCGAATAGCATCGTCGGACGAGGAGCTTGTCGCTAGGCAATAAGCGGCCAATGACTCGATTGTATCGTCAACAGTGGACTTTGCGGACGCGAGTCGCTTGTCGATTCTCTTCAGGAGTGTCCGTCGAAGGGACGCTAGCTGGTTGCGCAAATTGTCCAGAAATGGCGGGATGGTCTTCTGTTGTGAAAGGGTTTTGTGAAGCAGTCGAGAAAGAACCAGTAGTTTCGCCATCAGTAGCGTGGAACCGCGCTTTCTCAGTAGATATGCAATCGCCTGTGTGCAGCGGTGGAGAAGTGAAAGCTGAGCCCCCAGTGCTCGTCGCTCTGTTTCTGCACTTGAATCAATTCCCTGAACTGCGAAGCCGGAGAGCGCGAGCTTCTTACCATTATCCTGAGCATCATCCTTTATCTGATTCATGTGCACATGCATCCTCTCGATCAATCGTGGGTTGCATCTTCGTCCAATATCGGCCAAAGTCGAATCCACCTCCTGAATCTCGCGGTTCATCAGGACAATTGTTTCGGCAGTCCCAAGGAGATCTCGATACCTCGTTCTGAGTGCGACTTTAATATCAGCAATAATTCCACCCAATTGTCTTAATGAACACTCACCCTACGAGAGCCCGGAGCCTCTCCTTGTTGCTCGCGATGTCCCGACGTAGCTCCTGTTCCAGATGGCGAACGGTGGGAATTGGGTACTGGAAGGCATCCTGCCATGACTTGAGGCTTTGCGGATCCGGACCGGCCGACGCCATATTGACGGGCGCACAGGATGCTGGAGGAGAAAATGCCAACAACACGGAAAGACAATCGCTGATGAGAGCTTAGCTGTGCCGCAAGCAATGATCATCAATGGTGCCTCAGGCACCACACGTGGCATCTCGATCTTACAATCTTACAATACGTGACAAATCGTATTTGACTAATCCACAAATGGTAACTTAAGTACCACCGATTGTACCTACTTGAAGGACGGTAAACCGGCCCCGCTGAGTCACTAAAACACTCATAGATACGGATAAATCGAGGATCTTTGCCCCTCATATATTTCTTTATCGATCTTTTACTTCTATGAATCAACAACGATCATGCCACTTCTAGACCCTGATACACAGGCTCCGGCTGAATCTTCAGCGGCGCAGCCGCAGAGGCTACCCTTTCCCCCTGTGACTTACTCTCACATCCTTCATTGCTCTTATCATTACTGGCAACCTCGGTATGCTTCTCATGCTTCTCAAACGTCTGAAAGTTCATGAAGTTAACTAGCAGCGTCGTGGACTAGATACCGCACACTCACCCCTAAATCTCGTGCTATACCTTTGACGCCTTCATTCGTGTCCTACCTCCGCGCCGATGGAATCGTTCTACCACCAGAGACCACAAAGCCACAGGCCGATGATGACCTAGACACGTTCTCCGACGACGGTGCAGACGAGGAGCCAGACCCATCCGTTGAATGGCAAGAAATCCACTCCCAGATCAAGTCAACCATCTCAGAGTTTGGCGGCAAAGTAACACCAAAACTGAACTGGAGTGCGCCAAAGGATGCCGTGTGGATGTCGGCGACAAACGATCTTCAATGCCGAACACCAAATGATATATACCTCCTCCTGAAGAGCAGCGACTTCATCACACACGACTTGGAGCATCCATTTGATGATTGCGTGCCCGATACAGACGATTCGTCCGATACGCCTGCCACCCAGCCCGATATCCCTTACCACCTCGTCCTCCGCAAATATGTCAACTTCAATCCCTCTCTTGAATTCCGTTGCTTTGTCCGTAACCGCATGCTTTTGTGCATGTGCCAGCGCGACCAAAATCATTTCGACTTCCTCTTCTCGCTGCGAGATACCATTCGATCACGAATCCAGGCTTTCTTCGACGACAAGCTCAAGGACACATTTCCAGACCCCAACTTCGTCTTTGACGTGTATATCCCTGAGCCGCACCGGCGCGTGTGGCTTATCGACATCAACCCCTGGGCGGACAGAACCGACCCGCTTTTGTTCAGTTGGATGGAAATCCTGCAGATGAAGGATCCCATAGGAATAAAGGAAGAGGACGCAGACGCTCCCGAAGAAAGCTTTGTTCGACTGTCTCTCAACGGAGCCAACCCTACAGTGGTGGAGGTAAATGGAGATGAAGGGTCTGAGTCCGAAGAGGAAGATGTTGGAAGCGCAGACGATGGAGACGACTCGCCGTTCCTCCCCGAATTCCGTCTCGTGAAGCGTGACGACCCGGAGGCATATTCTTTCAGTACGCCTCAATACTCCGCGCACAAATTGCCCAGAGAGGTCGTCGATGCGTCTCTCTCTGGCCCAGGTGGCATGAGTGAGTTCTTGGGTAAATGGCAGGACATTCTAGCCAAGCAGACGCAGGAGGATACGGACAGTGACGATGGACGATAGCTACATTCACTTACTGTTTGTTACTATGACTTTCGATAGAGAAGCTCCTTGGTTCACGGGGCATTTAGACGGCGTTTTGGAACGGTAAAGCAGGGAAAAGTTTTACATGTATCAACAGCGTTTCCGTTTAAGAAATGATTGCTTCTTATGGCAAGATCTCTATGTTCCATAGTTTCGCTATTGCGTAGAATTCATCACATGTACCTGTCCAAATCCGTATTCCTTGACAATGAATTGCATTGTCTAAGAATCAATACTATGCCATTTCTACAATGCGAATCTCAGCATCTACAGCTTATGCCTCTTCTCACCCGAGGCCAACTTGCGGAATTCCTCCTGCGGATACCCCTTGACGAAGCGCTCCATGCCGGCAAAAACCTCATACGTATTCTGACGGTCGAGCAGCTCCCGCTCCGGACGACGAATGAGCTCTTTGATCTTGAGCAGACTCGACTGGTTCAGATGCGTACCTAGACGATCGTCGACCTCCTCCAGGACCTTCTTAAGGAACCCCGCCGAGTCATCGGATTTACCGGACGGAGCGGAGATGACCTTGTTCACGAAGCCGGTGGCCACCAGCTCCTCGCAGGTGATCCGCTTGCTCATGATAAGCGCCTCGTTGGCCTTGGAGATGCCCAGGCGCTCGACGAAGGCGCGGGAGGCGCCGCCCTCGGTGACGAGGCCGAGGGAGGAGAATGGGGTCAGGAGGAAGGTGTGCGGGGCGGCGTAGATAAAGTCGGCGAAGGCCACGAGAGCCGCAGAGAGACCGACTGCTGGGCCATTGAGTGCGGCGACGAGGATCTTGGGGTGGTTGTAGACGGTGCGGGTGAGGTCGAGGTTGTTGACGACGAAGGTACGGGCTATCTCTCGCCGGGAGTCGCTGTTCAGGCCGCCGCCTGGCCGGGTAGAGTTCACGTCTGCTCCGCTAAAGGGAGTTAATGATGGAGGAGCAGCTGAAGAAGAAGTTACAAGCTTACGCGGAGAAGTAACGACCAGTTCCTGTCAGGATGGTGACGAAGATGTCATCTCGCTTCTCAATTTCCCGTAACCGCTCACCGAGCAGGTAGTAGAGGTCTGCATTGAGGGCGTTCAGCTTCTCGGGGCGATTGAATGTAATGATCGCGATACGATCTAGGTATGTAAGAGTGATAAGATCTTCGGCCGCCATGATGAAATACGAATAAAGGCGTTGCAGAGGTAAAATTCAACGAAGCAGTTCGGCCGTGCAGAAATTAGGAGTCCCAGATACGTGGACAAGGGGAATACTTGATGTCAACAAGCGGGGACAGGAGATCGACCAGCGACGCTCCAGATAAATACCAGATCCTTAGCTCCCTCAGGATCCGGGCTATCCTCACGCCCTCATTCCTCACGGTAATGGAGCAGGAGCACCAAACCGACTCTCATTATTGCGGGGAGGCCGACGGTCCGAGCTGGCAGCCGAGGCTCGCTGCCAGACACATTGCAGGTCAGGTGACCGGCACGTGGCCTTGTTTGTCCTGTTTGCAGGAACCGCCGATCTTCGACTCACCAAAAGTCCGTGACACTGGTGGGCCGATGGAAGTCCGCGGGCTCTGATATCAAGTTCAATGCACAAGAAGAACGCCGCATGTGTCACTGCTCGTCGGATTAGCAATTGGCACCGAAAAAGTCAGCCTTGCAATACCAAAAACTGAGCACACAATTCACTGTATCCATCGAAAACCGCATCTCCATCCAGACCATACACCTCTCTAACAGAACGCTATTCCATCACATCAATTCACAATGTCAGCCATCCTGCGCAGATTACAAGGGGGCAACCTCGAAGTCTTCAAGGTACATACCTACCCTCTCGCATTCGCTTCCGCACGAAACACCTCCCCTTATCTCTCCACTGAACCAATCCCCATTAACCCGTCTCCATAGTTCGGCATGTATGTCATCTTCCCCATCGGCTGGATGTACTACTTCGGCACAAACCTCGACGAGCGATTCAGCGTACCGGGTTTCTGGCCCACCGCCGAGCAATCGCACAAGATCCCACTCGAGAAGGAAGAGATTGACCGGGAGCTGGCTCGGATGAGGACGGTAGATGCGGTCCGGCGTGAGCGACGGTTGCAGCGGGAGGCGATGGAGGCGCAGGCGCAGGCACAAGTAGCTGCGCAGGCTGAGACTGCCGAGTGAAATTCGTATGAGGGGATGATATATACCACGTGTGGGATTTGATTATCCGGACGAGGACCTTGGGTCTTATAAACCGGAGGCTGCTAAGCTGGAAAATGGAAGGGAAGAAAAAGCATAAAGGCGTTCTGCGGGGTTCAGAATGGCCGGACATGTGTCATGGCAAAATGGCCAGAGTGGCAGTGACACATGTACGATGTATGATTGCCATTTTGTATAACACTCTTCTCTGGGCATATCAGGAGTTTCGTCTTGTTCTCTATACAATAAAGTTTTTATCTCGTTAATTGGCTGAGTCCACCTGGCTTGCTTACACGATACTGCCTTTTCGTTTTACTGCATTGGATTGGACAAGTCGTAGCACCTTCGCCTCCTCTGCTTACAGACCAAGCGTCTCCATGCTGGGCACAAATATACAGGCAATGGAAAATCATGCCAATTGGGTATCAATGTCATTTCTGCCTGGCAAGAAAAGGCTGGTTTTCAATAAACATAACAGTTAAAGGATACACAGAAGGGCAAGAAGAACTCCTAGGGTATGCGCCCGCCCGCTTCTGGTTATTTGTTCGAATGAATAGGAAAAGGAGAGTCCCTTTACAACGCCTTTGTATGCAAAAGACTGATAATAAGAATGCTAAGAATAGGAAGCTGCGACATGCTCGTCGTCTAGGAAGACAAGAGAAGACGGTACTGAGAAGCGTATGTGAATCGACTTGAGGTCATGATAATGGTAGTATGTGATCGGGATCGCACAAGAAGGAGAGATGATCACAATTCCGCGATTGGACCAGTGGCTGTTGCGGCGGCATCTTTGACCGTGTCATACACCATCTCTAGGGTTTTGGTGCTATTATCGCGGAATACCGCGCTGATAGAAGGCAGGCCCGTCGAGATGAACGGGCGTTCACCCGCCCAGTAGTAATAGAGATGGCCGTAGATGGATCTGAGATGGTCCGGGAGGTAGACGTAGACGCCGGTGACAATCATGGTGATGAGGGTAAGGAGTAGTGTGTCTATCAAGAAACAATGGTTCTTAGCAATTGCAAGCAACAGAAACGCTTCAGAGGCGTCCTCATCACTGAAGTCAATAGGACAGATAGATAGCCAACAAGGTCAATCATCCAGGGCAAAGGAAGACAACATACTAAAGATGAATTTTTCGGTAGGGGTGAGCATATATATGGCGAAAGTCACCTCATATTGATAAACCTTCAGGCGAAACCACCGAACCAAGGCAGTTGTTATCCAGAGAAGAGGAGCCATGGTGGACACCGATTTGACTTGATGGACTCTGAACAAGAGTAGACAGCTGGGTCAACGACTGAATGGTGATATTTTTTCCTTCTTATTATAAAGGAACGGTGTCTCTTTTTCCTTTTCCTGTCTGTACCCCTTAGTGATCACTTGTGCGGAGATTTTGAATTGGAGGACTTGGCGCTGTAAAGAGGCGATGATTGCTTAGGTCGTTCTAGGGTAAGGAGCAAGATATTTCAAAAGAACAGAATTGCTTGTCGAAGAAGCTCAGGATAGAATTGACCTAGTGACCTAGAGATCTCCTGGTCTGGTCTGGTCTGATTGGGAGAGTAGTCAGCGGTCGGTCTATCTGACTGTGGAGCAATTAGTGGAAATTACCAGCGAAGCGGTACCTTGGGGGTTGACAACTTCTCCCACTCAGGGGCTCAAGGGAGATTTAACTTTGAAAGTGGCGAGATTCATTCAATTAAAATGTTGAGGCCGCTCAATTAGTCAAGGACCTTAGGTTCGGCAGATAAAGATAACTGACAGGTGTCAAGATTTGAGGATAGTGATCAACCCTTTCGGTGTAGTAAACAAGTGCTGATCGAGAAGATCAACAGCTTGAGGAATTTACAGAACAAGCTGTGCGGGGACAATTGTTGACCGGGAGAAGATCAACATGTGGAGAGGTAGGTTTGATGCATAGCAAAGAACCACCAATCTTACTTACTTGATTGAGGCATACGAGTACGACTACGAAGTACAATTATACGAACTAATTTAGATATGTCGAAAGAATACCTGAGATAATATAATAAGTGGTTCAGATTTTCACTTGAACAAGGATGTTTTCTCCGACCGAGTCAGACGTTTCGATAACTGCGCAGAAGAGACCTAAGCCACTTGGTTCCACTTCAGGGTCTAGGTGCTAGCCAGATATCTGCTACCACTTTGACTGGAAGACAAGAATAGAAATCAAATTGCCCGTACTACCACTCCATACTGATATGGATTAATATGCACAACCTGAGTGTCTAGAACATCACCTAGATACCCGCAGGGCATTAGTTAGTTAAAGATATGTCCAACATAGTTATGCAGGGGCGTGCATTATCGCGGAAGATCCGAGTTTTCATAATAACAAACTTTATGGATCTGACTATCTACCTACCTCTCCTGCAGAGGACCGAGAACCCGAGTAAGAGCGTACGTCAGCCTCTGCTTGGCATCTGTAGCATCCCCAACGAAGCTATTCCCGATCACGATGATCGCTATTGTTAACGCATGTCAATATCATTAGTATTGTGCTAAGGTCTCGTCATCGTGATTCTATGGTAGAATCAGCTCCAATTCTTATACCGTAACCGTAATAGAGACTCCACACCAAGTAATCTTTCAGTCTGATCAGACAGTCTCTGCTAAACCCATCAGATTTACTTATAAAGCAGTGAAGAAAGAAGTATATTACTCTAAAGTAGAGAAGTGTACGGAGATTCCAGAAGAATGAGTCCATGTTTCCACAAGGTAGCCCAATAGCAATAATAGACCGAGAGATATGCGTAGCTTCTTAGATAGACTCATCAAGCACTGACCGCCCGCTCGACTTAACCTACCTATCAAACCAACCTCACAGACAGACAAAATGAAACAATGCCACACCCCGCGACAGCGACAACGCTCCAGCAAAGCCTATCCATCCTAAGGACCTTCCTCTTACCCAAAGCCATCCACCCACCACCCTCACTCCGCCGCTCCTTCACCCTCACCTCGTCGTCCTCCGCAAAACAGCTCCCTCCGCGCCTCAAAATCGACGATGCCGACTTGACGGTATCCTATCTCAAGGGCACCGGCCCAGGAGGCCAGAAGATTGTACGCTACATTCACTCCTCCACCATTGATCCCTCCTTGATACCATGCCCGCTCGCTAACAACCCGAACAGAACAAAACCAATTCCGCTGTCCAACTCATCCACAAACCCACCGGCATAGTGGTGAAATCCCAAGCCACGCGATCGCGGTCCCAGAATGAGAAAATCGCTCGGCAGATCCTGGCTGATAAAGTCGAGGAGGTGCTGAAGGGCGATGCGAGCCGGAATGCTATTCGGGCTGAGCGCGCACGCAAGAAGAAGGCCAGCAAGATGAAGAAGACTCGGCGGAAGTATCGGGAGTTAGAGAAGGGGGCGCAAAATGAGGAGCATGAGGACGGAGACGAGGTCAACCTAGAAGATGACGCAGGGGATTGTCCTGAGGACCAAGGAGCGCCGCATGTCTCTCGCTTGGATGCTAAATATTCTACCACCGAGGAAACTTCTGAGCATCACACCGCTGAACAGAAGCAGCTCGGATGATCGGTCGTCTGCTGTATTTCTCCCGAAACGTCACGACGGGGCTCCGTCTAGCTGCGGAATGGCCAGTCTACACTTCATCTCATTGTGCTACTGCCGGTCAGGTCTTGCACCAATCTAATGGACATAACAGACACTTTTAAGGATGAATTGAACGTCTCCTGTGTAAGCTCCAAATATTTTGTGTACTTTATGCACAAGTACAAGAGACAAGCTGGAAACTCTAAGAATTATCTGGGAAAGTTGTCATAAAAGGCATGAATGTATTAGTTGTCACTTTTCTTGTTGACTCGGCGTCGGATGCAGACCATGCACATCTTCTGCTACCGCTCATGCAATGTAACTGCTCAATACTGTCCGCGCCTCGGCTCCCAGGCGCTCTTGTACGCACGCAGAGACCCGTCCATTATGCTTCTTGTCGGCCTCCTTCAAGTATCTGCCAACCCAAGCCTTGAGATCAGCGCCCGTGTCGGGCCATGGGTCCCTGGTTTGTGGTCGCACAGTGTTCAGCGCTGTGAAACCCACTCCGAAAGCCATATCCTCAACGTCATGTTCGGCAATAATGTCATCCTTGCTGGCGGGAAGAGGGGGAAGCTCCAACAACTTCAGTAAAGCCTCACATGTGAAGCCCCATCCCTTCTTGTATCTGTTTGCAAACGCTTCTGAGTTTGCAAGGGTCTTTGTGAAAGACAGCACGGCAGTCTTGCGGTCCAGTGGACGTGCGAGTTTCTGTGTTTCAGGGAGAATGATGTTGAGATAGATGGGGGTGAAAAGGCTGTTGTTCGTCAGTATATGCTAAAGATCGGCAATACACAGATTCATCTTGACATACTCTGCTTGGACTTTATCCGTGACCTGGATAAAGTAATCCGCACTATAGCCCTTGTCGTCATGAGCGGAGATGAAGTGATAGAAGCGGACAAATCTGAGAGTGAGATGCTCGGTCTTGGAGTTTTGAAGGCGAGTGAGAATGACCTGCATGATAGAGACGAAGTACTGCTCCAATGCCGTGCTAGAAGAAGGCGTCAGTACATAATTGACAAGATCGATCGGCCCATTATCCACTTACGATGGGAAGTTTGCAACGACACTCTCCAAAAGGTCAAATCCAAAGCCTTCATTGGCTTTCGTGGAGAGCAATTTTTGGAAGATACCAAGGATTAGGACCAGTTGCTGGTTTTCCAAGATGAACTGAGAGCCACGAGGGATAATAGAAGACAGTAGACGGACAAGGGCAGGAATGTTGCCCTTCGACTCCCACATAACAGGCATGAGGATGGGAGCGATCAGGTTCTGGTAGTAGTTGGGCAGGGACCCCGAAGGGTTGGCTTCCAAAAGAGCCGCAAAGAGCTGGAAGACGTATGGCATGAATTCTGCAAATAGGTTAGCACTCAAAGATGTCCCTTAACCTCCTGTACCTTTCTGATAGCACATACCTTGAACGTCGCCTTGAAGGATATTTGCGAAAGGTGGGTAGAGCGCTTGTTCGAGCTTCTCGGAATTGGCCGGTGCAGCGAATCTGGGCGTGTCAGCTCTCTAAATCGAGAAAAGAGCGAAGAATGGAATGATCGCCATACCTAATGAATGCGCCCATTGCTTCGAAGTGGAAATAATAGAAGCGGGGGTTGCTTGGATTCTTGCTGATAACATCAGTGATGTTAATTAGATGTTGAAGAACAATGTCTGTATATGGGACCACGTCTTCTTTGATGACAATCAGGACTCTCATGGCACATCTCATCAAAAACTCATTCTCCTGCACCTTCTCAGGGGCAGGGTCCTTCTGGATCAATGAGAAAATGTGCTGCAAAAGATCTTTCGCTAGAGGAGTGACAGTGGCGGGAGCGATAATCGGTTGACCTTGGCTGTCTGCAAGGTAAAGCACTCTCTCGACAGCGATAGCTGCATAAGTATAGACAACAAAGTTCGGAGAACCGAGATGCTTGACCAGCAAAGGAAGAACTTCTTGCCACTGGTCTTTCGTGATGATACTGCGGAAGAGGTAAAGGTACTTGATGGCATCCACCTTGAGGATAGGGTGGGCACTTTCATCAACAACCAGGTCCGCAGCGAGGTTCTTTTGGAAGAAGTCGGTGATGCTGACAAGGGGGTTGGTCGCAGTGACACCGTGGCTTGCTGTGGGAACTCCCTTGGCCGCAATTGCAGAGAACAAATAAACTGCAGTGTCCTTGGCCTTCCAGTTCGTGGCAGGGCTCTTCGCATATTCAGCGAGATAGTGGTCGCTGTATCTGAGAACGACCTTAGTAACTGGCCCCTCGAATTGCTCTGCCAGCCGTCTCAAGAAGTCTGTGGCAGCCCGCCGTCTTGTTTCGCTATCCGATCCTTCAAGATCCCGCCGGATAAATTCAATAGGCTCATCTTCAAAAAGCTCCTCATCTGACTCACGCAGACTCACGTTTGGTAGGACCACCTTCTCGACGATTTGGCCAAGGGTCTCTTCTGCCTGGAAGACCGATGCATGTTCCGGCATACCCGCAACCGAAGTCAAAAATTGAAGTGCTTTGCTGACGATAATGTCGTATTTTGTTTCTTGGCCAATTGTGGTCAGGAAGCTCCACGAGCTCTGCACAAACTGACCAACATGGGAACTGAATACGTCCATGTACTTCTGCACATACAGCGTCAGAGCCTCGAAAATCCCAGCCCGCACGAATTCTAATTGGCCGGCCTCAGTGTCGTCGTCTGTATGAAGCAAGGTGTTGTCATATGTCAGGTATTTAAGCAAGAGCGAAGCTATCCCTGAGAGGTTTTCCTCAAACATGGGAGGGAGATCATGACAAGAGAGGTCGAACAGCAATTTCACCATCAGATTGAATTGCGTAAACCCCTGGATGAGATTTTCCTTGTTCGACTTGTTCTCCTCGAGGAATGAATCCAAGCCCTAATCAGATTCAGCATAATGGTCAGGTAATCATGGTGCCACGATGGTAATGGCCGAGTGAGCCATGAGAGGAGGAACTTTACCTCAAAGAGAGCCAAAAATGGGTTCCCGAATTTGTTCAGGACGTGATTAATCTCCGTATACAGCTCATTTGACTGGAACAAGGGCCTCCATCTTTTGAATATTGAATGTGCGACTTGCAGTACACCGATATTGGCGGCGGGGTTCTTTGGCTGGAGTCTTGAAACAAGATCCTAGGAAGAGTCAGTACAACTGCAGGGCGACCAAAAGAAACTGTTTGTACTACTCACATCCACAAGGGTGTCCCATCGCTCCCAGAAGTCACTATCGGCAATCACACTGACAGCTTCACCTAGCTGAGACTGGATACCTGCCGGAACAGAAATCATCAAGCTGACCAGCTCCCGCTTGATCGTCGCGACCTCGTCCAGCTGGAGTTTGTAGTTCCCATCCTCATCAGTCCAGTTTCGCTTAATAAAGTTCTTGAAGCACAGAGCACTGGCGAGGCGGGTGTTGTAGGGGTATGAAGTAGATGCCGTGATCTGGAGGAGCTGCAAAGAAAAGCCGGGTTTCTGTTCCTCCTGGCGAAGAGTTGCCTCAGCTGCAAAAAAGATCAGACAATCCATCGCAAAATAGACATACAAGCCAGACAAGCTTAATTTCCCATACCTTGTTTGTTTTGCCTTGGGTCCAAGCTTGCTTCAAGGAGCTGGGCAACAGCTCCGAGATCCGCAGCCATTTTTCGAGAAGCGGGGTGTAATTATGGTAGAGTTCACGGAGAAAACAGCGTGAGAATCTTTCAAAGAATAAGCAATTCAAGAAAAGGGGACAGAAGGAAAGGTCTGAGTAGTTGGTGCGGGCAGGAGATTCCTTCAGCCTGTCTGTACAAAAAATGCCCTTCTCAAAGCTGTCAGAGCTTAGTTCATATAAGGCAGTTTGTTTAGCGGTTGCTTTGGTTGCTTTGGGAATTTACAAGGCGGTCAGCACTGATGGCGGGGTGTTTCTGCCCATCAGGTGATGTAACGGATTAACCTTTTCCATCTCCGCCAGAGCATGTTCATCATCGATCCTTTTGAGGGGAAAGGTGTCTTGGCACACTTTTGCTTGAACGGGAACCTGATATCATTGCTTCCGGCTGTGCTCAAACAACGTCTGTTCAGGAGCGTCTCTTTGTTCTGTCGCTGGTGTTTTCATTTGAACTTTGAGAAGAAAAAGTGTTCTTGTCTATTTAAAGAGTCAGCTTTGTCTTTTGAGACATCCGTCATTGCCACTAGAGCTGTCATATCTGGATGAAGCTTTGTATTACCTTTCAGCCTCCTGATGCTGTGAACACCTGACTTAGAACTCCTTAGGAAGGGTATGTGGATCTTCTTTGACACGGCTTTGAGCTACAGCAAACAAGGCGAACCCATGTATTGCATGAAACCTTGTCATAGCTCCGTCCATGCTGATCAGTCGGTGTCCTAGATATATAACCTCTCGACTTAGACCTTGTATATACCTCCCGTCCTTGAGGACGCATGTCTCCCGATGAAGTTCCGTTACCGTCTCCTTATAAAAGTACCGCTGCAAGTTTTGTGGACGTCTTCAAAACGTTAGGTGTCTCCCGGTCCAGATCGCAATCTCCACTTTCGCTGCAGGACAGCAGTCATTCCTTGTCGCATACGACGGATGTGCGGAGAAACAATTTCCTCGTACTCGGATTTGAATCAATGCATCGTGGTAGCGTCGTTTCCAGCTCTTCGGACACTCCCGGTGCCCCGGATTTCGAAACATCTCTCAGAAATCTATCACAGACACAGAATCTAGCTCATGCCATCGACGAGGCGGAGCATGTCTCCAGATCCCTGCAGTGGTTCACTTCAGACCAATCCGTTGCGCTATGGGAGGCTGGCTCCTACCTCATCCACAATCTGGACTCGCCGGACGCTCGACGAAGTGGGTCAATGTTGATAGAGGCTGTTGCAGCCCGTCAGGATCTATCGCCTTCAGGTCGGCGTATCGTCTTTGAAGCGATTTCATGCTCGTCAGAGCCGGATGTAATACCAGCACGTGTCCAATCGTTGATATCGCTTTCGGATCACGGCAGGAAGTTGGACTTCACCTCATCGTCTATCCTTCCCATCCTTTCGTCATGCGCTGTCCCACTGTATGAGCTCATCTCGTCGGCCCGACTGAAAGCTCGTAAAGCCAAGGTTGGCAAAGTGAACGGACTTGGTTATGATGAAACAGCACTAGATGATTTGTTGCAGTTCGCTGTTGATTTGATCACGCTGCAACGGAAGCGTCCAAGCGCTGAAGAGGTTGAGTCGTTGCTCGATCAGATTTTCGTGATTTGCAAAAAGACGAGCGTTGCCGCCGACATCAAAAACTCACTAGCAGTATTCGATGCCGTCATACTCTATGCAGACGTTCCGGACGGGAGTTTTGTTCCTATGCTAGAGGTTCTGTGCAGTATTCATGCTTCCGTGAAGTCCTTATCTGGACCTACCTCGAGAGCTGTCAGAAACCTTGCAAAGTCAAGATGGCAGACAGAAATGGTCAACACCCTTGATTCATTCCTGATGGAGTCATCTGGGGAAGAGAGTCGCAATATCAACGTTTTGCGCGGTACAGTACACATTTTCACAGACTTGATTCGCGCTCACGGTCAGGATGGCATACCGCAGCTTCACTTTGAGCATCTAATGGATTGTCTCGAGGTGGTGATTCGTAAAGATGATAGTCGCTTAGAAGCAGATGTGCTGGAGTTGTGTTTGAACATTTTGGATGGCGATTTCGCTCACGTGGCTCTGGAAAGCAGCTGGTCGGGGTTTGTGAGGGTTCTCAACTCATGTTCGCTCAGAGCCGTTGGTGAACGTGAAGAGCGCGCCGCCTCAATTTCTAGTTCACAGTCGCCCCTCTCAAAAACCGGCACGTCTGAAGACGCAAAATCGAATATCCTCGCTAACGCTGTTCAAATCGCGACCACAGTCGAATCCCTCTGGGACCGTTTGAGCAGAGAGCAAAAATTGGAAGCTACACGGTTCCTGATGAACCTGTGTGAGCACACTGAGCCGTCGCAGGCTGAGCTCGTCATCAACACGACGAGATCCGAAAATCTTTGTCTCCCTTCTAACTCGGACTGGGTCAACCATTGCCAGATATTGATTCGCTGCTTTATCCGGTCTCGCAACAAGCCATCTGATATCCGAATTTCAGCCTTGGACCTCCTGAAGGAGGCGTTCTCGACCTACGACGCGTTAGTTCTTTTCGAGGGAGAGGGGTTGCTCCACCTCATGGTTGAAAAGTTTAGCGAGGAAGATGACATCTTGTTCCTAGAATCACTAGTATCTTTTATCGTTGATACGTCCGTCCTTGTTACCGACGACGCTACCTTCAAGTTCCTGGTAGATACCTTGAGTTCACCCATGAACAAGGATCTCGACAACCCCGAGCTTTTCAGTCCCCCGGCTTCCGATGCACCTTCGCCTCAACGTCGCTCATCTGCAGAATTGGCGCCCGCGCTACATCCTGCTAGCTCTCATCATCACTCGCTGGAATTGTCTCTCTCAAGCGTTTGTACCGCTGGGCTTGTCAGAATGTTCCTTAGATCGCTCAATACGTCAGCCAACAAAGCGATTACAGTGTTCGAGAAGCTTCTCAACTTCGCTCAATCCCTTGAACGACCTGCAGATTGCCGTCTGAATGTCCTTAGATTATTGTTCAGACTCCGATGTGATTCATCTGGGGCTGTTATAGTAACATCGATGTCTGAGAACGACTTTTTAGTGGACGGTTCGGGTCGAGGTGGTGTTGATAGCAGCGCTAGATCACAGACTTCTGAAAGTGCAGTTGGAGACCATGGTACAAGTGAAGAAAACTTGCGATTGGCCGCTCAAGGAAGGCAGTCTATAAGCAGGGAATCACTTGCAAACATCTTATCCAGATCCGCTGGTCGGAACACTGCAGCTCATTCCCGTTCATCGGTCTTAACTCCCCCAGTCTGGACGTTCGCCTCATCACAAGTTCTACCCGAGAATCCACCGGCTGATTCGAGTCCTTACATGTACGCTTATACGACCCCTGACCTGTCGCCTCAGTCTGAATATGAACCTACTCAAAAAGTCGCGTTGAAGGCCAACATGTGGCTGGAGACAGTCATAACGCTGCTTCTCCGAGAAAAAAATTGGGAAATCTATAGCTACGTGCTGACGCATCTAGCCCCCCAGCTTAGCAACCGAGGTCTTTTCCGCAACGCTGTTCCTCAGATCAAACTACTACGCAGCGTAATGTGTGATCAAGTCAAGAACGAATCGTTTCGAGAGCCCCCAGCATCCACGGGCGTCAAGAAAACAGACGTGGCTGGCTATATTTTCGATTGCCTCTCCGTGTTGGTCAGTTATCACGAGGTCTTCGCCAAGAGCGAGGAAGATGAGCTTGTACGCGCCTTTATGATGGGCATCATAGGATCTTGGGGTGATACATCTCGCAGATGTGTACATGCGCTTTCTGTGTGTTGCCATGAAATTCCACTTTCTGTGACGAAATCGTTGAATGGCATATTCGACAAGATGGCAAAAGTGATTACTATGTCCAATCTAGCAGTACACATTCTCGAGTTTCTGTCCCTCCTTGCACGGCTGCCAGATGTCTACGTCAATTTGCGCGAGGAAGAGATCCGAACCGTTTTCGGTATCTGCATTCGCTTCCTCCAGACCTCGAGAGAGCACCGCTTGAGGGCGGGTGACTCGTCAAATCGGCCCAGCCAGGCCTCGACACGGCTTGCTGGAGGTGTCAAAGAGATTGCAGTGACGCCAGGCGAGCCCTCTGATCCATCACAGCAAGATGGAATGTCGAGATACATCTACACCCTGACTCATCATGTCATGGTCTTTTGGTTTTTGTCCTTGAAACTCCAGGATCGGGCGAAGCATGTCAACTGGATTACCAGCAGACTCATTTTCAAGGATGAACATGGGCAGGAAAGGGTTGAAGAACAGAGCCAGGTCTTCATTGATCTGATGCAGAGAGTTGCATTCTCGGATTTGGGTGAGACTATTCCATATGAGACGTTCCCTCCATCGCCCTCGGATGGACCAGTGTCCAAAAAGTCATGGGTCGTGGGCATGAGCATAGTCACCGTGGAGACAGCTGGAGTATCTGGTTTGACTCAAATTACAAAGCGACAAGCTTCCGGAACCACTTATGCGATGTACCAGCAGCGGACAGCTCCTGTACTTCCTCATCAAGTGCCGACCTCACCTGATGCGCATGCCCATTCAGACGATATGCGCACTGCCGTGCTTCCTTCTCACGTACTACTGCAGTTGACGACCACAGCGTTTCCTACACCCACCGTAATGCAACCGATCCCCCTTCCTGACGACGACATGACTCGCAGAGCGCTTAGCATTTTTGACCGCAACGACATTGTCGATGGCCATAAAATCGGCGTCATTTACATAGACAACGGCCAAACGACCGAGTCGGAGATCCTCTCTAATACCGTTGGGAGCCCTGACTACGAGTACTTCCTTTCCGGTCTGGGAACCAAGGTACCGATCAGAGGAGCACAGTTCAACACCCAGGGATTGCATCCGGACGTGGATGGCGAGTTCACTTATGCTTGGAGAGACCGGGTCACGGAGATTGTGTACCACGTTGCGACGATGATGCCCACCGATTTCGATAGAGACCCGGCTTGTATCAACAAAAAGCGGCATATTGGGAATGACTTTGTCAATATCATCTTCAATCGGTCCAATGTTCCATTCAATTTCAACACGATTGCGTCTCAGTTCAACTTCATCAATATTATCATTAGTCCCGTGTGCCGCATCGCGTCTGGGTCTGGTGCCGCAACTCCGACACCCAGTGATTTCGAACAGACATCGTACACTGTGAAGGTCATGAGCAAGCATGGACTGCCAGAGATCTCGCCCGCATCGACTCCCAAGGTCATTTCTGGAAAGAACCTCGCAGCCTTTGTGCGCATCCTTGCATTGAATGCATCCGTGTTTTCCCTCGTCTGGAACAGTCAAGGAGGCGAGCATGTTTCCTCTTGGCGCAATCGCCTTCGCGAGATCAAGCGGCTCAGAGAACGGGCACTGGGATCGCAGTTGCAGATGTCAGAGGCCGCGGAGGGTGCCTACCCCGGTCAGCGACGCAACACCAAGCCCAACATTTTCTCCGAAGAGGTGCCTTCGCGAGTGACTCCTGTCAAAACCGACTTTGCTACCGATTGGAATGCCGCTGCAGACGCCAACATTTTGCAGAACTTGGACTTTTCTCGCTGGGGCCGTTAAGGCGTTCGTATCGGTCTCAACTCATCTCTGTCACGCCCAATACATACACGACCGCTTTGGGTGATCCAAACTAAAACAGAGAACAAAAGGATTGATGATTGAGGATTGTGGAAGGAGCGGGAAAAAAAAAAATTTGAAATGTGTGATGCCCTTTTACCTGCTTGATGATTACTAGGCTCCAGGCCTTTCTCCATGCAGTACGTTCTTTGTTATTTTAATGATCCACAACACCTGTGCCAATACCCCCTGAATGTCATGCAAAAAGTTTATTTCCTTTTTTTTTTTTTTCACCTCTTTCATTCCACTGTCTGTATATGACCTGACCTGACCTGGCTATGTCTGTATTATTTGCTTCTTGTGGCGGACTACACACGATGATGAATATGTGATGGAACACATGCCACGCCTAGAAGACAACTCAAGTGATAAAATTACTGGAGAACAATAGCATCTTTCCAGGGTAACTAGGGATTACTTTTCTACTTTGAGACTGGACATTTGTCTCGCTAAGGTGGTAGGCTTCCGCGGCCGGTGATATTATGGTTCGACACCAGAAGGCACGTTTATGAGAGCGGGATAATTGAAAAGTCTTCGTGTAGACAACAAAGTGCGTAGAATTGGATTATTATCGAGATCTGAAAGCAACATCACAAAGATGAGGAGATAAGGGAGTTATGTATAAGGTATTCGTGGGATGAGTGAGGACAGTAGTAACTGCAGTACTTACCAGTCACTATCAAAGCTTTCAGAAAGATCTTTCGGATAGTTTATCTATTTCACGATTTCTATGCCTTCAACGGACTCGTAGTCAATTGAATAGCGTCAAAAGACAATAAAGCATGCTATCGAACCTCAGCCGAGGGTATCTTTCCTTGCAAAACAATAGGAAAAGCGCGAACGACCATGCAAACAAAGAACAAGACCACCTAAACTCCACGCAAATTATGCTGAAAAATGCAAGATGCCACGCTGACGACGTCCGCGAACAGATCAAGACAGAAGCTCCTCTAAGAAACAATGTATGGATCCCTTAGGCAGATGACACGGAAAATAATGTCGAGTAAAGGGGGAAAGGTACGGATGCATGAACGCTTTTAACCATAGTCTTTGTTCTAAACCCACAACCAAGCTTAAAAGAACGCCAGCGCTAGATGATTGACGAAGAATGATATCAATGAGATGGTTTAAAAAGGATGACCGAGATGTGGACATGGTGAGGAGGCCAATTCAGTCCCTCGGGTTTCCCAACCCGCGCAGTGCAACTCGCCTGCTGGAACCAGCTCGGCCAATGTCGCTGATGCTTCTGGATTTGGGCAAGGTCCGGGCTCTGGCGCTAACAGGCTCTTGCTCATGCGATGGTAAGACATATTTGACCGGTCTCGAGGAAGAGCTCCTTCGAGCTTGTCCAAGTACATCTTCCACCCATGCCTCGCTTTCCGGGCTGATTGAGACACGACGTGATCTCGGTGTTGGGCCTGCTAGACCCAGGGGTATTGACGGCGAATTCGCGAAGGTTGCACGATGGTTTTCACTCGCGAATGACGTGGCACCGAAGGAGTTCGTAGACGACATCGAGAGCCGTCGGCGCGAGGAGACTGTGGACAATGGGGAATACGAGGTCATCAATGCCTGACCGGCACTAACGGAACGGAAGTCCGGCCGATCTGACACGTTCGACACTCGCCGTGTTTTGCGAACCGCAAGCGAAGATGAGGGCCGATTACTTATAACGGATGCAGGTCGGGACGGTGTTCTGCGTCCAGTGTTGGCAGTCGGTGTGAGTGTGCTGCCTGGTGATGAAGGGGCCGGGGTCCCGCGGGAAGAGAGGCCTTGAACCTCGGGGCGCGGTGTTTCGGATACAGCCCGACAACCGTGGTGGATAGCATACTCCCTGAGATATTCGGCTAAGTCGGCCCATCCGCCTCCAACACGAACCATCACACGTTCACCCTTTTCTCCCACGGTGCGAATGAATAGCTTGGTAGGAGCAGCCTTACCACCTCGATGCAAATGATACAACTTCACGGAGCCGTCTTCCGGCGCATGAGAATGCCTTCTGCGAGAGGGGGCCGCGGTCAGCGTCAATGAAGGTGTCGGCGTGCCACTGCGCGATAAGGCTCCCTGTGGGGTCATCGAGAAACGTTCGCCATATTTCACTGGCAAGGAAGGCGCCACAGAAGCCTCGTCAAATTCGCGGTCTCCAGAAGATACGAGGTGAATGCGGGCAGGAATAGTGTTCAGTATCGAGCTGATTTTCTCATCCAGTTGATTTTTCGGCCTCCTCATCTGTTTACTGGGAGTCGAGGGTCTCGATGTCCCCTTTCTTGGAAAGCTAGCGTCTCCCAAAGGTTGGGAGTTGGAATTGTATGCACCAATGTTCTCAAGGCTAGGATGGGTGGTCATTTGCTTTCGTATACGAACGGTGTCGTTACGAACAGGAGGTTCCGACGGAGGGCTTGGAATGGCAGAGTTTCTGGCAAAAGCGTTCGTGTTAAGTGCCCAGGCTTTAGGCGGCTTAGGGGTAGCGTCATCGAGTTCCGAAGTGGATTGTCTTCTCTGGGAAAGTTCCATGTGCTGACTTGCGAGGAGTTTCAAGTTATTAGTCGGCACGGTTGAGCCATCCTTTGATGACTGTAAGTCCGTTGCATGTTGCTCGCTTTGGGGACGCAGGTCGACGGAAGCAACTGAGGCTCGTCGATTGCCGAGAGTACCTTTCAAATCACCCCCAGCCTCGCTCTCGTACTGCATGTCAAACCCTTCATTGATGAATCTTTGCAGAGGAAGGCTCAGGGCCCGGTTATGCGACATGGTTGCATTAGGAACTTTCTGGTTGTCCAAACGACGCAAGCGCTCCTCACGCAGAGTATGGTCGGCACCAATTGACACATAATCAGATGCTTGTGAAAAGTCTTGGAACGGTGGTGGCGTTTCGAGAAGCAGTGGTGTCCCATTCGAAGACGCGGTGCGAGGTTCACGGATGCCCGGACTAGATGTAAGGGAGGGATAATCCGAAAGCGAGCCCGCAGATGCGGTAGAAGTTCGTCGAGCCCGCGATTTCGAGTTTCCTTTGCTGATATATAAGTTCTGCGGCCTGGTTTTGGATAGTTTGATGGGACTTTGCAAGCGAATCTTGGGTGGAGGAACTGTCTCCGAAGCCTGTTGTGGTTCGCCTGGGTAGACGGGAGACTCCTTGTCATTGCCAGAATTAGACATAGGCTTCGCAGGTTCTGGCGACGAAGTTGTGGATCTAGAAAATGACTCTTCTCTCTTGAGTGACATAGAAGTAGAAGGCGCTCCAGTTGTAGCTGCTTCGGCTATGACGCTTGCCAGAGTTGCTGCTTCATTTTCAATTGGCGAGGATTCCTCTGAGCCAGACGGGTCAACTGCTCGTCCTGTATCTGCACTCAGGCTCTGACGGCTGAGCCTGTCGACTGTGAGTCGTTCAGCCGCAGCTGTCTCATCATGGAATGCCATTTCTGTCAGGTTGCTCGAGACCGTGGGAGCAACCTTGTCCTCCAATGGTTCGACTGAAAGGTGACGATCAGAGTCCGAAGGCACCGCGACGACAGGTGATCCCTCTGGAAATTGTTTCCTTCCTTCCTGGATCTTGTCTTCAACTGTGTTGCTGCTTGTTTGATGCTCATTGATGCCACAAACAGCATCAGTCGGCTCCATCGATGTGCCTGTCGTAGGTAGAGAGGGCGTTTCAGGCTCTGGAATCCGGAAGGAATCGTTCTTTAAACTGGTAAAGCTGGATTCTTCTACGGGTGCATTCTTGTGCTCCTTGTAAGTGGACTTCGCCGACCCTGTAACAACAGATGGTTCTTGCTGGGCAGATACAGATAGTTGCGAACCGCACAACTTCTCCTCAACATGTGAGACAATAAATGTATCCTCTGGTAGGAGTTCAGATGGGACAGATAAGGAGTCAACTGCAGGCCGGTTTGCGATGAGGTCGTCATTTGTCAGGGAACATTGAAGGTCACAAGGGACCTGATGCTTTTCGGTTGAGGTGGTGTCGTCCGTCCTTTCTCCCGAAGGTTGCTCTATGGAAGCTGGACGTTCCTGTTCGGGAGTTTGTGGCACCGTAGTATCTTCGTGGGTTTGTTCAAATGATACCTCCTCTGAAACGGCGTCAGAAGTGTCAGGTAGAATCTGGCGAGGAGCCGAATGAGATAGGGGGCCGTTCGATGGCTCCTCTGAAGATCCTCCAATAGAAGTGTCGGAGGAGTCTCCCGAGAAGCTTTTGAAAATTTCCGAAGACTCCGGTTGACACAAGTCCGCACCAACAGGTGATACAGCATCTATCACGATTTTGATTGTACTTTGTTCTGGAGGCTCATTCGCTAGCTCCGCACCCTCTTTTGTTTTTGATGCAGCGTCCGTGTTCGGTCCAGACAAACTCACAGACTCACTCGGGTCAAGATGGGATTGCGAGGGATCCGAGGTATCGAGCACCTGTGCAGAGTTTTGATTGTGCGTAACAGGATCAGAAATAGGTTCCACCAACGATTGGTCATCGTCACCTTCGTCGATGGTTTCCATAGGAAACGAGCAACTGGATTGCGGGAATGGGTCGGATGAATCCGCAACTGGAGACTCAGAATCTTCCTCTTCAGGAATGTTTGACAGCCGATTCTGTTTATTCTGCACACGATGGGCTTCTTTCGATTTGCTCGTCGTCGTTCTCAGCCGTAGCCATTCATTCTGAACCGTACGCTTTTCAGCTTCCATAACCCAGGTGCTAAAATCAGACTCAACAGCCTCCAGCTGGTCAATCCAGCTTTCCGGGAGTGAATCCTCGCGACCCTCGAGCGCGTCAATGACATTATCCATTCGTCTGCCCGCCGAGAGCACTATCGCCTCAAGTCCAGCTCGCTTGGCGTGGTAGTTTTCTCTCGAATAAAGAGGATCATTCTCGGAAGGAGGAGCGGTAGCTTTCAACAGGTCCATCGCAGAATTCACCTCGGACTGAGCAAGATGCAAAGCTCGTAGTAGACCTGGAATCTGGCGAAGGACCAATAGTCGAACGTCCCATGTTGTAAGGAGGCTGTTCAACCGGGACAAAAGAGGAAGGGCTCGAAGAATGGTGGCGGTAATGACGGCGGTGAAATCGCTCAATTGAACGTAGGTCAGAGGAGGAGGGACGGACACGGTGCTATTGGATGACGAGGGTCGAGACCGCGCTGGAATGTGGGCATTGAGTACATGTTCCTTGAGTTCGTCAACGTCCAATGTTTCCATTCCATCTCGGATTTCTTCAATGCGATCTTCGTGCTGCTTAACAA